TTATTATTATTTTTTTTATTTTATATTTATAAAAAGTACTACTAGAAAGAACTTAGAATAGACTTAAAAGCTAGTTCTATAACTACTAAAAGGTACTATAAAAAGTATTATAAGGAAGTTTAGTAAAAACTTTAAACTAACTATAACTAAACTAAAAGTATTATTAGCTTTAAAAGAAGAAGTAATAAAAGTAATTAGCTTAGCTAAGAGCTAGAATAAAGTAATTATATAATTTAAAAGTAGATTATAGATAGCTAAAGAAATAGAAAAGCTTTTAGGAAATAAAAAAGAAAGTTTAAAAATAATTTAAGTTTATTTTTTAAATTAAAGTCTTATTAGTAATTCTATAATTAAAATCTATTATTTTTATAATTAAACTTTAAATAACTTTTTAACTTATATATAAAGATATACTATATATAACTTAAGGAAAAGCTAATATTATTTAAAATTATACTTAACTAAAAATTAATTAAATAAGTAAACTTTAACTTACTTCCTAAATTTTTTATATTATATAAGCTCCTTTTTTTTTAATTATATTTTAACTAAGTTCTATAATTAAGTTATCTTAATAGTAAATCTTATAATATAATATACTTTTACTTATACTTTATAATTATCCCTTTAAAATTATTTATTAGTCTTTATAAATAAACTTTAATTTTAGTTTTAATAATATTATATTTTTTATCTTTCTAGTTATTTCCTTATATATTAGGATATTATAGTAATAATATTATTTTATTTTATTAATATATAATTATATTAACTTTTTATTAATAATTATTAAAATAATTATTATATTATAAAAATTTTTATTTCTTTATTTATTATTTTATCTCCTATAGCTTTTAATTAATCTCTAATTAAATAATATATTTATTTTTTATTATTTTAATTAATTTTTTATTATAGAATTTAATTAAATTATTTACTAACTATAAATATTTTACTATATTATATTATTCCTTTTAAAAAAATTTTTCTTTTTATATATATTTTCTTTTTTTATTTTATA